CATGAAGCACATCAACCGGTTCCACTTTCTCCCCAATGATAACACGCGTGGCCATTGCTACGAAATCATGATCCAGTGTTTTGGATACAAACGGGAATGACCGGGACACGCGTACATTACACTCGATAACTTTTAAATCGTTGTCTTTCGCGATCAGTTGCATATTAAACGGGCCAGTTACTTCTAGACTTGCTGCAATAGCACGACAGATTTGTCTGATCTTGATCAGGGTTTCTCTATTAATATCTTGCGGTGGTGTGACAAGTGTAGCATCACCAGAGTGTACCCCAGCGTTTTCTACGTGTTCAGACACGGCCATGCAGAGGATAACACCGTCACAAGCCACGGCATCAACGTCAATTTCTTTGCTTTCTAAGATAAACTTTGAAATTACCACCGGATGTTCTTTACTGACATCACTTGCTGCATTGAGGTAAGTTTCAAGGTCTTGATTGGAGTGCGCCACATTCATGGCAGCTCCACTCAGGACATATGAAGGTCTCACCAAGCATGGATAACCAACTTGTTCACAGAATTCAATGGCGGCGTTCAAATTGGTTAATTCCTTCCACCTCGGTTGCAGAATACCGATCCTATCCAACATCCTCGAAAATTTGAAACGATTCTCAGCACCATCAATGGAATCTGGTGAAGTACCAAGAATTCTAGCACCGCGTCTATGAAGATCCATCGCGATGTTATTGGGAAGTTGACCGCCCATACACAGAATGATTCCAGTAGGATTCTCCATGATGTAGATATCCATAACAACCTCAAAGGAGATTTCTTCAAAGTATAATCTATCCGACATGTCATAATCAGTGGAGACCGTTTCGGGGTTGTAGTTAACCATGATTGTCTTCTTCCCAAGTTTGCGTAGCTCGCGCAAGCAACCAACTGCGCACCAATCAAACTCGACAGAACTACCAATTCGATACACCCCGGAACCAATCACCATAGTATGCTCTTCTTTGAACTCTAAATCATGTGCAGTTGCATTGTAAGTCAGGTACAAGTAATTAGTAGTTGCTGGCCATTCAGCTGCGACTGTATCAATCTGTTTGACAAACGGCATCAGTCCAAGATCCTGACGTTGTTTCCTGATTGCTAACTCAGTGCTTTTTACCGCTACAGCAATTTGTTTATCGCTAAAACCCAGTTGTTTAGCTTTAAGTAATGTATTCCTTGATAATGTGCTCTGGTCTAAAGACTCCATCAGTGTAATATAGTCGATTACATGTTTCATTTTCTGTAAGAACCATCTGTCGATTTTGGTAAGGTCATAGAGCTTATCAACAGAGTATCCGCTTTTTAGTGCAGCTGCCAAAACAAACATTCGTTTATCAGTTGGTTCTTTAAGTTCTTCATCGTCAACTTGTTTGAGATAAGGATCAAATCCATTTACAGATTCGTCCACCATTCTGAGTGCTTTCTGGAAGGCTTCCTCAAACTTCCTTCCGATTGCCATGACTTCTCCAACACTCTTCATGGATGAACCGATTTTAGTAGAAACCCTTGAAAACTTGCTGAGATCCCATCTAGGAATCTTTACCACGCAGTAATCCAGACTTGGTTCAAAACATGCTGTAGTCACACCAGTTACAGAATTCTTAATATCAGGTAGAGCTATACCCAAAGACAACTTAGCTGCGACATAAGCAAGTGGATAACCAGTTGCTTTACTTGCAAGCGCGGAACTTCTTGATAATCTGGCATTTACTTCAATGATGTAGTATTCTTCCGCATAGGGATTCAGAGCGTATTGAATATTACACTCACCAACAACACCAAAGTGTCGAATAACATTGATAGCTGTGGTTCTTAGTAAGTTATATTCCCGGTTCGATAGAGTTTGACTTGGTGCGACTACAATCGATTCCCCTGTATGAATACCCAAAGGATCCACATTCTCCATGTTGCATACTGTTATACAATTGTCGTAAGCATCCCTAACAACTTCATACTCAACTTCTTTCCAACCTCTTAGAGATTTATCAATTATAAGTTGAGTAGAATGTGCAAGTGCTTGTTGTGCGAGTGATTTCAATTCGTCCTTATTATTGGCAAATCCTGATCCTAAACCACCCAAAGAAAACGCTGCCCTTGCCATTACAGGATATCCCAACTGTTCTGCAGCTTCTAAAGCTTCCTGGACCGAATAAGCCGCCATGCTGGGAGCTACTTTCTCGCCGATGCAAGCGATACGTTCACTGAAGATTTTTCGATCTTCTGTATCAATGATGGCTTCAATTGGTGTTCCCAAGACCTTTACTCCGTATTTATCGAACACTTTTGCTTTTTGTAATTGTACACCGCAGTTTAGACCAGTTTGGCCTCCAAAAGTTAACAGAACACCCCCAGGGCGTTCTGCTCGAATCACCTGCTCAACATACTCGGGTACCAACGGAAGAAAATATACTTTATCTGCAAGACCTTTTGATGTTTGAACTGTAGCTATGTTTGGGTTGATCAGGACAGTTTGTATTCCTTCCTCATGAAGTGCTTTGATTGCTTGTGAGCCAGAGTAGTCAAACTCCCCAGCTTGACCAATACTCAAACCACCCGAACCGATAATAAGAACCTTTTTGGGAACCTCCGAAAGTAGTTTCAAACCGTCAAATTGTAAACTTTCATGAATGCGTTGTTTAACAGACCTTTGTGTTGGGTCTTTGATAACTTCTAGAAAAACATCAAACAAACATTCGAGGTCCTCAGGTCCTGCAACGTGCTCAGGATGGAATTGAACGCTAAAGTATGGTAGTGTTTTGTGAATAATGCCTTCGTTGGTTTGGTCGTTGGCGTTTGAGAAAAGTTCCTCCCAATTTTCTGGCAGAGATTCGGGATTGATGACGAAACCATGGTTCTGGGAGGTCATGTAACAGCGGTTGGTACCACGGTGAAGACATGGTTGGTTATGTCCTCGATTGCCATACCTAAACCATGATTAACAATAAAATATATGGTCTAAAAGTTGGTTTGAATTAAAACTTACTTCATTTTGGAACTGGTGCATCCAATAGCCAATGATAACAGTTGGTGACCCAAACAAATGCCCAAAACAGGTGTGTTCTTTTTCGCAATCACCGCTTTGATTGTTTCAATTGTTTTTTGACACATTTCTGGATTACCTGGACCGTTACTCAGGAAAACACCATCGTAATCTTCTGTTATCTTGTGATCCCACGGAACGACGTCAACTCTTGCTCCACGTTGCAGGAAACATCTGATTTGATTGTTTTTTAGGCCACAATCGATTGCACATATTTTTGGACTTCCATTTGGATTAAATACTTTAACTTCCTATTTAAAAAACAGCAAATAATTACAATTAAAATGAGAATTGTTTATGCAAATTGAAACAAACCTTTGTGGAAACCTCTGCGACCAAATTCCTCAAGTTGGGATCCGCAATCTTAACATTCTCAGTGTTTATAGGAAGTTCAAAAACTATTTTACCGAGAATAGATCCTTTTTCGCGTATCTTTTTCGTGAGAGCGCGCGTGTCGACACCTTGAATTCCGGGGACATTTTCTTTACGCATCCATTCGGAGAGTGTCTGGTGGTGACGCCAATGACTGGGTTCATCACAGTGTTCACCCACGACCAAACCAGCGGCCCAAATTTTGTTAGATTCAAAAAAACTGCGAAAAGAAAAAAAAATTCATACAATTTGCTGTTTTTATTACAGTTTTGCCGATAACTCTTTGTCGGGAGAATTTAAAATGTGTGGAAAATAAATGAATACTTACTAAGGTAGACCATGTTCATCATGTTTGCCTTCTGGGATGCCGTAATTTCCGATTAGCGGGTAAGTTAGGACCAAAATTTGGGCGTGATAACTCGGATCGGTTAAAGATTCAGGATATCCAACCATACCAGTTTGGAAAACTGCAAAGAGACATTATATATTACATTGTAAGTTGAGTTATTCATGTAAAAAATAATTTTTGCGGATTTTATGAGAATAAACATTTAAATAAAACTTAAATTAAGCATGTGTAGCCTCATAGACCATTAGAAAACAATAAAAATGCATAAACAACAACATAAATGTTATATCAATAATTTTACTACTTGTTAAACTATAAACATTTAATTATAAGCAATTATTTCATAAATTAAATGTTTATTTTCTTAATTTAAGTAAATTAAATTAATTTAAATATTGCTTTATAGGTGACGCTGCAAGCAGGCAAAGCAGCGCGCTTTCCAATGCAACAAAATAAAACTTTCGCGATTCCTCAAGCCGCGCAAACGCAAATCGTTCGCGAAAATCAATACCACGCCGCCAAAACGAACAACAAACGCAACGCTCGGCGCAAGGCCACTCCGCGGCCATCCACGTGCTCGCGAATCTAACCTAAACCAACGGTTTTAACATGATACTAACGCAAACGCCGCTGATATAGATTTGAAAAAGTTTGAAAAATAAATAGATGACATACCGACTTCACCGTCTCTTGCATTGCGTGCCCCAAACGCCTCTCCCGGAAACACCGTACCATCCTCCAGCAACAGATAACAAACTTCCTTCTCCATAATCACACGTTGGTTACTTCCAGCGTTGTCGATGTATAAACAAAAATAAACCAGAAGCGCAAATTGTTGGAAGACCGCACAGCGCTGGCTGCACCACGCGAATATCGATCGCGCACTGGTGGGTTTCAGCGCCGCGCTCGCAAGTGCCTCGCAGTACTTGTAATTGCGATGCGACTGCAGTCGGCCGGTTAGGTGCGATAAGAAAGGCCGTTATCGCGATAGGAAGAAATATCGCGCGCGTTATACTCAAAGCAATGCTTTCAACTGTCGGCGTTGATGATGACTGTGACGAAAAGAGATGATCAACTCAGGCCATGAACCGTCCCTAGCGTCCACCAGAGAAACCGGTTGTCACTTTGGTAGATTAACTACTTATTTGAATTTAAACGGCAGAAATCGGTCAGAAATCTATTACAGGTAGCGCAATAAAATCTACCTGTTAGTAAAATGTCCCTTTAAACTTGATTTTGGAAATATTTTAACGTTTATTTCGTACCTGTTGCAATATTTAACTCAAAACTTTCTTGAAAACTCACAAGTACAAATGTTTTACTTGTAGAATTTATATTTAACACTCAGCATGATGTTTTTTAATTTGTTTGTTAATATTACGCCTCGATATGAACGAAATTCCAAACGTTATCGCTGAGTCTAAATAAAACACGATCGCCGATTGTTATGGGATCCATTTTACTGCCGTAATATTCCACGCGATGAGGAATAACAGTGTAATAAACTCTGCAATCATAAAAATTCATTCAAGTGAGGTTATGTTAAGTAAATGTTTAATTAGATTAACTTACACTTCAGCTGGCATATCAATAGAGTCTTCTTTAGCATCACTGAGGTGTTTAACGTATTCGTCATGTCGTTTCTTTAATTCATCCCAATCAATTTCATTTCCTTGTTTGCTGAAACCGTAACGAACTTTTGTACGCATGGACCAAGTGCGAAAACTTGCACGGGTAAACTCCATTGGCATTTCTTTAGCCACACCTTCAATTCTAACCTACACGTAATTTATTTTTAAATTTCTCATCTATTTCTTTAGTTTTTAATTAATATTTACTTGTTTGGTATGTTTTTGTCCATTTATAGTTGTAACCCAAAAGAAACACAAAGATACCTGTGGATGTGTTTGCTATAACAGAAATAAATTAGGTGAAATTATGATATTTATAGGTTATATATGTTATTGTATTCAATAAACATACAATATCCTCATGTTTGCGGCTATTTCGGGTTGTATTAAACATAAAACCATCATCAGTGAGTTTTTTCATCACTACCGACCTATTACTCACGGTCCCATCCCTTAAACAATCATTAAAATTATATATAATAGAAATATGAATCGAAAATTTGTTGGTAAGCGCATAACTCAACAACGCTTTCACCAATTTGGCCAATTCTTCTTTTTAAATGTTTGTTAAACCCCAAGGATGGTTTTTAGAGCGAGAAAAATTCGAATAATTGCCGGGAAAACCCTAAAGAAAGCCCTTTTCTGTAGGATAAAAGTTGGCATTGAGATTCAGTCATAGTTATAGTTAAATAGTTGAATCCGAGATGGCGCGCTGAAGTGCATTATTAGCAATTCTTAATATAATTAATTTTTTAAAATAAAATCGCGAATCTTATTGATAGAATTGACACATACTATGTCTAGAACAAGGGAGTAAAACGAATTACATTGTTATTAAACACTACCGGGACGAAGTCGCGGGCAAAAGCTGGCATTTAATATTTTGAGGTTAAACATTTAACTTACTTAGACACTGTTGCTATATTCATGACACTCGCATGGAATTCTCCAAATTCTTCTTTGGCATCATTAAACCATTCCCGAAACAAATCCAAAGGTCTAGCGCCATCTTGCACTTCAATTTTGTACAAAGTTGAAACAGCAGCAGCCATTTTACCTTCCTACACTTTTTACAAGTCAATACACAATGATTAAACTAATTATGTTATAATAATGCATAAAAATGTAACAATTTAGTTGTTTAACTTTCTAAATGAACGCAGTTCCACTTATCCGTATCTATTCTGGTGAACAACACTCGATCTGGAATGGTAGCTGATGATATCGTAGCGTCGTTGAGGTTATGATAGAATTCGATACTTTCCGGGATTACTTGAAATGCCTCACTAGTAGGTAGTAAATCATAATGACAATAAAAATCGAAGTAAACTTAGATTTTATGACTTACACATGAGTTGGCATTTGCAACTGAACTCGATTTTCTTGTACGCTTTGGAGGAAGTTATCGTGTCGCTTCTTGAGGACGTGCCAGTCTACTTTACAGCTTTGACGACAGAGGCAACTTCGAAATCTATTCTCGATGCTCGCGTTGGCGAATGCTTCGCGAGCGTAATTGGTATCTTTTTTGATCGCACAGCCTTCAACACGTACCTGAAATTTGTTTTCATTAAAATTATATAATAATATAGATAATAATTTAAACGGAAAATTTTAGATGTAAATATGCAGAGTGAGATAACTTTATTTTATTAATACGTACTTGTCTTGATATGCGTAGATTGTCGACTGTGTAGAACCATATGAATGTCAGGGCTACTTGTGGATGTGTCAGCTGGTAAATTTATTTTGATATATTTAAATTTATGTTAAACAAACTTAATAGCTACAGAAGCAACTGCTGATAACGAGGTTTGGTGTGTTGGCATTCTTATAATGGTAGCTAACTGGTTACCAACGCCATCTATAGGTTAATAACTAAAATTTAAATAATTTTGCATTGGCCTTGACAATGACATTGATTAATCACTTATGAATAAATTCATAACATTTAAATTAGTCTTAAACAATTCCGAAACTTAATTAAATAATTCTTACAATATCTTTGCTTTTTCTTGAAAACTTCGATGAAGAGAAATGAAATCCGCCATCGCATAGATCTGTCAAAACCACATTACGGCTACTAATTCGTCCACTTCTATTAAAATTAATTTACAAAACTAATTTTTATAAAAATAAATAAATTTTGATTGTTTAATTATTTACTCTGAGATTGTAGCCAAGTTCATCGTATGTGCATGTAAAAATGAAGTCCGGTCCTGTGCTTCTTTCAACCAGCTAGCAAACAAATCAATCGGATCATTATTTTCTTCAGGGATGTCGATTTTACATAACCGCGATGTGAAATGTGTAATTTCATCCTTACACTCTTCAGTTTTTGAATTATAGCAGTCATTATTATTAAATTTCGTATAAGAATAGAAGTAATATTCGCTGGATTCCTTCGATGAAATGTCGTCCATTGCGTGTGAAACTGCTGATGTGAAATCCCGCAGAGATTTTCGAAAATGTTTAATGAAAGGTACGATGTTTAATTTTGACATATTCGATATTTCGTTTGATTAGGATGAGAACCGTATTAAAAAATAAAATTTTAAATTTATTTTACAATAAGTACCTACATGTCAACGTCAATAATATAATTCGATACAAATATAATAATTAGGAGAAATGTACATATACAACTATGCAACAATTAATTTAGAACGTGCTTATAATTTAAATGGTGTCGGCTTTGATGGTTTCCTGTATCCAATCGATGTTCGGAACGATTTTGTCGTAGAGCCGTGGTCGTTCCATGCCGTTTTTCGCACATGCAATGCGCCAATTCGTCACACCAATCAGTGACCATCTTGTGCCATCGTTCACCTGGCAATGCATCGGCGAACCGGCAAATTCTTCTTCCTACACACACAAAATGTCACATCTATAATATAAACATGAATGGCAAAATGTGTTGGTAAGCGCATAACTCAACAACGTCTAGACCAATTTGACCAATTCTTTTTTTTTAATGTTTGTTAAAGTCCAAGGATAGTTTTTACGGCGAGAAAAATTTGAATAATTGCCGGGAAAACCCTAAAAACAGCCATTTTCTATAGGATAAAAGTTGGCATTGAGATTCAATCAGAGTTATAGTTAAATAGTTGAATCCGAGATGGCGCGCGGAAGTGCATTATTAGAAATTCTTTATATAATTAATTTCTTTAAAATAAAATTGCGAATCTAATTGATAAAATTGACACATACTATGTCTAGAACAAGAGAGTAAAAACAAATTACATTTTTAATAAATACTACCGGGACGAATTCGCGGGCAAAACTAGTTAATGAATAATAATGTGTTTATTGGTTTATAGATGGCGTTTACTTACACTGCAATCTTCTTGTCCGTACGCAGTTTCAGTGCAGAGACTATTCACGCTGGATATGCTAATATTTTCGCACTTCTCCATCACTGTGACCTTAATCTCGACACGTTGCAACTGATCACGATTGCGTGCCCAACCCAGTGTGTTGCAGTGCAACGCATCACTGGCTTGCAACTGCTGTGGCAAACACACAGGACGAACAAAGTCGGTCATCATGAGAGGTTCTTCTAACTTAACCATTGCTATAGTTGATCCTTCAACTGGAGATTTGACCATTCCTACAATACGGCGTTCTTGTTGCCATGGAGATGAAGACGATAACCTAACACTTCCAGCCCTCACTAACCATTCTGCTTTCGGTTGTCCTTGGAAACAAGATGTCGTGGTGACTACCCAATTAGGTGATACCAAAGTCCCGTCACAGATGTGTACATCATCTTTGAAGAGGGCCATGTGCCAGGGCCAATCACCATGGGCGGACATCTTGGCCAACACTGGATTGGCACCTGCTTCGTGGGTTACCTGCACACCACATTCCAAATTCGCGCAGGAGACTTTCAGTACTTGTTTTGTGGGGCATTCAGAACGAACAAAACTGATCTCTGATGCTGTAGGATCATCCATTGAAACGTATGCAACATCATCTTCTGCGTCTTTTTCTACTTGTACTGATGTTACACTCCTGATATAGGCAACCAAATATACATTAATTAATATTATGCATATGGAAATGATCAACTTACTCGTATGATAATGTTTTGCACAAAGATGATGCGACCATATGCAATATTTCCGCTGTTTTATTCGCTGGTATGGAACTGTTGAGGTTCTCCGTGCATAGTTTACCCATTTCGCCTTTCTCGTTGAATACAACATAGCCCTCGGGATGGTAACGCGGGAGGTGCGGTGTCACGACTTTGACTTTCGTCATTTGTTGAATGCTAGGCGCTAGAGTTACTACAAAACAAACAAAGAACCAAACCCAAAATGTAAATTAATTAAACTGCAGAAAATACTTTGTTAAAACTTACAACATGCCCTTTCATCACTCCCATCCGGACAATCTCGTTTACCATCACAACGCTTCGATGATTTTATACAAGCCCTACCAATTCCACAGTGGATATAATTCGATGGACAATACGCACAGGATTTCTCATCGGAAAGATCTTGACAGTCAACTACCCCATCACAAATTCGTGGGGACAACGCCCTTGTTTGCATTTCTTGCACACATCCTGGTTTTGGAATACATGAACCATCCCCGTGAAACTCTGGGAACTTATTACAATCCAATGCTTCTTTAATTTTACTTGTTAAACGTCCCCCACATCCTGTCATGAAATCTCTACAGTAACTTCTACATGGCAGCAACATCTCATCCGATTCCGGACCACGTGCACAACGTGGTTGTAACACATTACAAATAAAATCATAAGCTAATCTATAACATTCTCCATCAACTAGTTCCCGAAAACTGATGACATCTTTTTTCAGGTCTTTAAGATCATTGTGGCCCATTATGTTTGGATATGTGGTGAGGTTATAATTCATCTTTTTACAGTAGTCCAATTGCAGTGGTGAGCATTTTCTACGAATTGGAGTTTGAGTGACTGCTTCAGAGACAATCTGATATGTTGAGGGACGTGCGGTTGTTGTTTTGATCACATGATTCTCGATTACTTCAACACTATGCGGATCAATGGTCAGATTACGGAAATACAAAGATTCTTGTTCCAAGGCCACCTCGTTAGAGATTAGAGTTTGGAGATCTTTGGCGGAGGCTGTCGTATAAGTCGGATCGATGTGAATGTCAAAATGGACAACTAAGTCTTTACCTTCAGTTCTATTGATGGATAGAGACAAAATTAGGTTATGTTATATTGGGTTATTTTAGGTTATGTGTATTACCCATCGAGTGCTAAAATATCAGTCCCTGCAAATCCAAGCCGATAATTACTCCTCCTAAAGAGAAGATTCAGTCTTTCTTTGTAATCCCTTGCTTTAACCCGGAATTCTTCAGTTTGGAGATCCGCCATTGGTGTTTGAAAGACATCGCCTTCCATTACATTAAAACTAGCTCGGAATACTTGCTCCTCGGCTGGTTGCGTAAAATAAAACGTGTCTGACAAACAAAACAAACAAATTGCAACAATTTATTTTATATTAGTGTAAAATGTATTCAAGGCTATTCAACCTTCTTTACACCTTCTTATGTTATAGTGCACCTTGCGCACACGTTGCGAAATCATTGCAGATCGCAGATGGTGTTTCACAATTTTAATGCAATAGTTTCAAAGATCAAAATTAACATTGCGTGGTATTTAGCACATGCATTAAATTAATGAATGCTTCATTTACTTACATCCGACATAGATGGCGGCAGCACCGGCTAAGAGCAGCATCAGGAAACTTGCTAGAATACAACAGCCACATTTGTACTGTCTGCTCAATTTCCTGCGAGTGAAACGGATGTCCGAATCTGAGGATAGAATTGAACTCGCCGAACGGCGATATTGTCTTGTTCCGTTTGTGCTCATCGTGCTTACAGACATCTGCAAACAAAATGCCGTCTCAAAAACTCATAAAAGTATATCTTAATAAAAATAAATCGCAAAATCTGTTGGTAAGCGCATAACTCAACAACGCCTACACCAATTTGGTCAATTCTTTTTTTAAATGTTTGTTAAAGTCCAAGGATGGTTTTTACGGCTAGAAAAATTTGAATAATTGCCGGGAAAACCCTAAAGACGGCCTTTTTCTATAGGAAAAAAGTTGGCATTGAGATTCAATCATAGTTATAGTTAAATAGTTGAATCCGAGATGGCGCGCTGAAGTGCATTATTAGCAATTCTTTATATAATTAAAATCTTTAAAATAAAATTGCGAATCTTTTTGATAGAATTGACACATACTATGTCTAGAACAAAAGAGTAAAAACGAATTACATTTTTATTAAATACTACCAGGACAAAATCGCGGGCAAAAGTTGCTAAAATAATAGAAATTGAAGCCAATAATAAGAAATTCATATTGTATTGCAATATAAATGAACTTATTCATAAATTAATGATATTAGTATGATAATTACAATCACAAAATGTATGTGATCAACAAATCAACCAACTGTTGCTCCTGTTGTATAGATTCAAGTATTCTGACGATTCTGACGTTCCTGACATAGTTTCGTAGTGTATGAGAATAGATTGTAAGATTAAAAAAGTTGTATATAACTCATACTGCAACACTGATAGATTTTCTAATCACTACATTCTAGCGGTGAAGAAATTGCACGTAGGAAGTGAAATGGAATCAAGATGGATGAAGAAATTAATGTGTCATCTGGATAATTTCATAGCATCAATCTTTTCACCATTCAACACAACTAGATACTCATATAAACGTACATCCGCAATAAATAAATAATTTCCTACTGACCAGATGTTCGTTCATTAAATAATGTTAACAATTAAAAAACAGCGATAGAACTGCGAACAAAAAACTTTTACTTTTGCGTTAAACGGTATCGATGTTAGTGAACTCGATCAACTTTGAATATTTCCTGTGATTTATTTAGTAATCTAGTATAATCCGAGCGGAACCGTTAGGTTACCAGTTTACCACTTCTCTGACACTCACGATTCCAAGTGATTCTTTACATCACGATGCCGTTGTGTTGCTGGCGAAGAAATTTGCGTTGAATTTGCGATTGCAACCCACGAACATGTACTTCGTAAGATATCATAAAGTTCAACCCACAAAAAATTGACTACATTAAGCAAAACAATAGTAACTGATATTCTAACTGTACTGTACTGTTGATGTACAATTTAAAACATGTTACGGATCATTGGAAAGTTTAATTTCTTGTGGTTGCGCACGTGCGAGCGCTGAAACAAAACGCAAATTTTGACTTTGTTACGTGCAAGTTACGTAAAGATACATTTGATTTTCTCTTTGGAATCTTATTTACTTACTACTAGTAGTGAGAATTTAGATTATTTATAAACAATTGTTGATAGTCATTGTTTCTTTGTTTATTTGCGTTGTGGTTCATTGAGTAATTGCGCATTTATTTGTATTTTATTCAAATGTTATTGTTATCTAACTTAAGTTAAGACTAAAGTTAAGTGAAGTACTCTTACATTTGAATGTGAAATAGAAGGCGTTAATCTGGTTTATTATTAACTTTATATTGTTTACGAGTATAAAACCGTAGCGAATGAAAGATAATGTAGAAATAATTGCATGAAATGATGAATCATCATTACATTTTGGTGAAATTCACGAGTTACTCTTAAACAAAAGTGACTTAAGTGCGCATAGGCCTTGAGCACTCATGAATTTCATACCAAGTAAAAGTTTGAAGTTTTGAATTACCTACGATCAATTTATTGAACATAATCACAACTTGCAGAAATTATTCAACCAAAATGTAGGTATGTATGGTTGCATAACGCAGAAATATTTGACAAGTTATTATATAAATCCTGCCTAGTTGTTTTTAGCCAATTTCCGTTAAAACTTGATTTTGTGCTTTGGCTTTTTCTTCTGAACTCTGTTTTCGAGCAAATTGCAGTTGGCATTCACTCCCGCACGCGCACGCTCTGACATTTAATCGCAAAGTTTAAAACTTGCAGCAAAAGTTTAAATAACTAGTGGAGTCGAAGAAAAATCAAAAATTACAGCGTAGCGTAGTTAATGTTATAGTTTAAGTCGCTTGTGGTCTTGCATTTCGCATGAATTGTGCAATAAGTATTGTACAGCATGCAACTTTATATCGAATAAATTATAGAAACACAATATCTAACACCATATAGAATGCAATATGACTCTTGAGCATTATCTTGAGTTACATGGGCTTATAAAGAAAAACGAGTTAAAAACAAAACAGTATCAGAGTCATAGAATGTGAAAATAGAATTGCGGCACACCGGATGGCAAGCAGTAAGTACAAGAATGTTTTACTGCTGTGTTTGAATATCAAAGGTAATACAAATTTGCTGTTTTACTTCCATGAATACATAGGCTTTGTTTTTACAACATGTTAAACTCAATCATAGTGATAATCATATATTTCTTGTTTATGAAATTATAGGCAACCAACAATGCAATACAAATGTAAAAGTTCAACATAAAAAAAAACATATAAAAACAAAAACTAATAAGGAAACAGTAAGAATAATCTATTAATGTATTAGTTTTGCCCGTGGCTTCGTCCCGGTAGTGTTTAATAAAAATGTAATTCGGTTTTACTCTCTTGTTCTAGACATAGTATGTGTCAATTCTATCAATAAGATTCGCAATTTTATTTTAAAGATATTAATTATATAAAGGATTGCTAATAATGCACTTCAGCGCGCCATCTCGGATTCAACTATTTAACTATAACTATGATTGAATCTCATTGCCAACTTTTATGTAATAGAAAAAGGCTGTCTTTAGGATTTTCCCGGCAATTATTCGAATATTTCTTGTCGTAAAAACCATCCTTGTACTTTGACAAACATTTTTAAAAAAGGATTGACCAAATTGGTCTAGGCGTTGTTGAGTTATGCGCTTACCAACACATTTTGCGATTTATTTTTATATTATAGATGTTATTTGTGTTTTGTTGTTTGTTTATAGCTACATTTCACTTTTTCAAAGTCAATATTATACTGAGAAGTGGGCGCAGTTATTATTTCGGCAGTTATTCAGCTCCCAAAGTAAATTATGACAAAATAATAACAATTTACCTTAATAAATAAATCTATTATACATGAAACGATGAAGGTTAATGCACACATTTGCTAATTATTTAATTTTAGAAAGTTCCTTTGTGCTAAACATATTTACACAAACCAGTCATGATCAAATAATGATTTCTATAATTTCTGTTTTCTAAATTTATCTAAGTAGGTATATTAAAAACGAGATCAAACCCAGTCGGTAATTAAGATGGTCTTTATATAATGAGACACGCCACAAATGCAACCGCAACCAGCGTCACGTTAATTAATAAAAAACGTGACTGAGAAGTTTGAAACCATAAAAATTTCTTCGGCAATTTTTTTGTTACAATTTTTACGCTCTGGTCTATATTTTGAAAGAGAACCACATTCAAATCTTCTCGCTGCTTAGATTTTATTTACTTTATTTACAACTAGTTTTATTACTCGAGCGTCGTAAGTCTTGCTCTAATTTAATTCTTTTTTCCACACTCAATCAACGATAAATTAAAACGATGAGAACATTTGATCGCATTTGAATGGGTTTATTGAAGCGATAAAAACGTGTAGGAAAAGAAAATTTCTCAGTGTGTTACTGGGAAATATTGCGCTGTTATTAAAATCTTCTTACGCGCGTCGTGAAATAAAACACAATAAACCACATAGATAGATAAAATCAACAAGAAAATGTTTTACATTCAAAGAAGAAAAAAGTTCTCATCAAAGAATATTAAAATACAAGAAATAAAAAATATTTTTTTAAATAATCTTCTATAATATAAAAATAAATCGCAAAATCTGTTGGTAAGCGCATAACTCAACAACGCCTTGACCAATTTGGCCAATTCTTTTTTTAAATGTGCGTTGAAGTGCAAGGATGGTTTTTACGGCAAGAAAAAATCGAATAATTGCCGGGAAAACTCTAAAGACAGCTTTTTTCTATAGGATAAAAGTTGGCATTGAGATTCAATCATAGTTATAGTTAAATAGTTGAATCCGAGATGGCGCGCTGAAGTGCATTAGCAATTCATTATATAATAAATTTCTTTAAAATAAAATAGCGAATCTTGTTGATAGAATTGACACATACTATGTCTAGAACAATAGAGTAAAAACGAATTACATTTTTATTAAACACTACCGAGACGAAGTCGCAAACAAAAGCTAGTATTAAAATAAATGTAAAAAATTACTTTTTTGGAAATAAAATTTAATAAAAATATATATTACCCTAGAATCCCATGAAGTTTTCCTTCCACCATGATTGTGTTTATTGCGATCAACCGAAACACCCATAATGCGATGATTTCAACACTCCACTACATGAATATAATCCACTGTATACACAATAATTTATTTTCTATGTTCTCTGATGCAGTCTGAAGAAGTTGTGGTGAAATCTTTTCTCAGGTTGATAGTAATTGTCGCGCCACTCAATTGTTCACCAAACACTGCATTTATTCAACACAATCGCAGACGCCACGAATAAATGACGCTTAATAACTTTTCACCATTCCGTCCGGCATCCTCATTATTACAATGAAATCGCAAGTAGCGATGCGACAAAAGCGTTTGTTCAATGCGCGGCGAGAGTTGAGAGTTCGGCGAATTCGGATCTTGAGATCTGCGATTGTCGATTGCAGTTGGTAGCCTCGTCGACTTTCTCTCGTTGGCGACCTGCAACACGTGCAAAAGCGCGAAAATAATGTAATGAACGGCGAGAATCAGTGATTACAATGTGTTTGTTTGCGCGCGAGCAAATGCTCGACATTTATTGACGATCAAATAAAAATAAATGAAATGCGAGTAAATACAACAATGCAAATAAATGTTCCAACACCTGACAGCAATAAATAAGTTATTGTGAAACTAACTCGGAATAATTCTTAGTTTGGTTTGTTTAATGAGAAAAATAGGTTTTCTTCTTTATTACCATGTTTTTCTCATCGATTTCTTTCGAAATTGTTTAGAAATTCTTTGAGAAATCTTAATTGTATAATGATAATTGTTTTGAAATGTCAAACGTATAGAAATCATTCATCAAATAGATTCGAAAGTAAAACCAAATTCGATTGCTATCATCACGATTAAAATATCGTGAGAATAAAGCAAAATAATTAATTAATAACTAATGGTCAAGTCAAGAACAAGAAAATTTTTACTTTTTCTATTAAATAGCTTAAATTGTGAAATAAGTAGGTACAAATGTCGTTGACACTTGAAGAAAATAACTAGATGATGATAAATCATTCAGTTATTCGGTTCTCGTGCTACCGTGTCACTTCGTCATACTCTCTTATTTTGCGTACGCCTGCGAGCGTGCAAATCGTCCAAATTGTTGTAAATCGTCGTTAATTTATTTATGTAGATCACGATGTTACTGATCGCCACACTGCTCGTAATACGTGTAATGCGCTGTTAATGCGAACGGTTTGCGAACGATTGGAAGTAGCGTTATGTGAGGTTACGTTTTGTCATTCGTTTTGCGTATTCTTGCATAAAATTTTAATAATTTAAATTTAAAACACCAAATTATGCCATGAATATTTAAATTATTCGATTATATTTTGTTGTTTTGTTTTGTTTTTGTCTACATCAATTTAAATTTAAGGTTAGTTTGAATTTTTATTTACTGGCAACCAACTATACAAATACATACATTAATTTTATAGCCTACAGTTGCGCACAGGCATTATCAATTATTCTCACATACTTATTTAAGTTGAGATAATGTTTAACGACATAAAATATCAGTTGTTGTCAATTCCAAAGGCTGAAATTGCTTAAACATAATTTTACACATTTATTAAACAACTAGCTTTTGCCCGCGACTTCATCCCGGTAGTGTTTAATAAAAATATAATTCGTTTTAACTCTCTTATTCTAGACATAGTATGTGTCAATTCTATCAATAAGATTTGCAATTTTATTTTAAAGAAATTAATTATATAAAGAATAGCTAATAATGCACTTCAGCGCGCCATCTCGGATTCAACTATTTAACTATAACTATGATTGAATCTCAATGCCAACTTTTATCCTATAGAAAAGGGCTGTCTTTAGGGTTTTCCCGACAATTATTCGAATTTTTCTCGCCGTTAAAACCATCCTTGGACTTTATCAAACATTTTAAAAAAGGAATTGGCTAAATTGGTCAAGGCGTTGTTGAGTTATGCTCTTACCAACACATTTTGCGATTCACTTTTATATTATAGATTTACACATTGAAAATGACACTAAGCGGTAACAATTAACATATTATTACAGATAATAACTTTACTTAATCTTCAAAAGTTAATTTAAGTGACAATTTCTTTATAATTTTAAAATCTCACAGCGCCATCTATTGCAAATAGTTAAGAAACATTACAGACGGATATATGACAGCCATGAAGTGTTAACCAAATTTCAATGCACGTAGACAAAAGTATATATTAAATTGCCGTTTTTAAATACAATTAAAATAATCTTGATGTAACAGATTTGAAAATGTACAAACATCTTGTCGTCATACAGGAAACGTGCAGATGTGTGTATTCATTTACTCGTGCCTCTCTCAAAGAATGCAAATCTTCTCTGCGGTCGTGACTCATGCCTGCTGCAAATTCTAATCTAATGTTTGCATGTTAATTACTTATTATTCGCGAACGGCATGTTGGATGCTGCATGTGGAAATGCTTTCTTATTAAGGACATCAGCGTTTAAAAATCGTTTCATGCATTGCACATGACACTCACTCGTTTTTATTCTGTATGCAATCGTTCATGTTCTGCGTGTGTAACTGTTTCCGTCAAAACGTCAAATTGCAAATTATGTTTTTCATTCAATGTTCAGTATCATTATTGTTATTATCATGATTATTATTGGTAATACGCAGAGGTTGAATGAAAAAGTGTTAGGAAAGTGTGTGCGATGTTCTCGGAGCTTCTTCCTACACACGATGTGGCCATCTTGAGTCGCGGTGCGAGGACAAACGACAAAAACGTGTGATGCACTCGTGCAACCACGCAACTACCGTTTTTGTCCTACTAATTTTCAATTATGCATTTCTAGCGCTCATGCACGTCGCCGTGTGCGCTTCGTTAGTGTTGCCTTAATTGGGCACATCGTGAAAATAAATAAGTTTTGAAATTTGAAGATTTTAAAGGTTTTGAAAGTGTTGGAAAGTTAATTTCGTCATTTATTGCTTAAAAACAGTTAAAAATCTTAATTTTTAACTCATTTTGAGTCAATACAAGTCTAAATCAAATAAAATTTGCAAAATTTTAGCAAAACTATTGGTACAAAACACTTTTTTGGCGTTTTTCGCAAAATGGCCGCTAATTTCAAGTCAATACCTTGATTTTAGCCATAAAATCTATCTTAAAATGATAAACCTTCATTTTTCACATATTTTGAGTCAATACAAGTCTAAATCAAATTAAATTTGCAAAATTTTACCAAAATTATTGGTACAAAACACTTTTTTGGTGTTTTTCGCAAAATGGCCGCTAATTTCAAGTCAATACCTTGGCTTTAGCCATAAAATCTATCTTAAAATGATAAACCTTCATTTTTCACATATTTTGAGTCAATACAAGTCTAAATAAAATTAAATTATCAAAATTAAATCAAAATTATTGGTACAAAACACTTTTTTGGCGTTTTTTGCAAAATGGCCTCTAATTTCAGGTCAATACCTTGATTTTAGCCATAAAATCTATCTTAAAATGATAAACCTTCATTTTTCACATATTTTGAGTCAATACAAGTCTAAATCAAATTAAATTTTCAAAATTACATCAAAATTATTGGTACAAAACACTTTTTGGCGTTTTTCGCAAAATGACCGCTAATTTCAAGTCAATACCATTATAAAAATCATTAAATCCGTCTCAAAATAATAAATCTATGTGTTTACGATGTTTTCGAGTTACCACATTAGGTCAGAAATTTAATTTCTTCATTTATTGCTTTAAAATGTCCAAAAAAACATAATTTTTGACAAACTTTGCATCAATAAAGGTCTAAATCATTTTTTTTTCTCTAATTTTATTAAAATTAATGGTACTAAACATAACTTTGGCGTTTTTATGAATTTACAACTTACTATAACCAATATCCTCAAAATGGCCGCGGGTTTTAAATTACAACGCCATGATTGAACCCACCTCGAAATGATAAACCTATGTGTTTGGCGATGTGTTCGAGTTACCACGTTACCACGTTCACCACAAGCATCGACATGCAGATATACTCGCGCTCGTGCTCGTAGATAAATACCGTTACTCATTGACCGATTTAACTCCACCATCCTGACCTACACACGCCGCTCGACGCTTCCTCGGCTTGCATCGTCTGCCGAAGCGGATGTACTCGTACATACACACAACATGCCGGTTCCAATACAAAAAAATAAAGCAAAACAATGGGAAACTAGGTCTCAAGTGAGGTTAGGCTGCAGAAGGCGTGGTGAATACATAAAAATGCATCTGAATTGCAGTGAATTACAATTGTTTCTATCTTTGTGATATATTCAGATGACATTTAAGTGTTTTTAGTCGTTTTTAATGATTTTCGTAACAAAGACGTGATTGTTACACTTTTAACTTTATTCTACTTTACTCCACACGTCTGTTTTGAGTTTGAGATGAGTGTAAGTCACTTATACTTGTTACTTTTTGTTTAATGAATGTTTTGCGCGTGCGTGCACGATTTATCGCTCGGCTGCCTTCCAACCTAGTCTAATTCTTAAACTTTTCTATTTCACAACACCAAACCGCATGAGTGTTTGAGTAAATAACATTTATTAACACATGGTGCGTCAAATGAAGAAGAACAAACAAATTACGAGTGTGAAAAATATTGAGGTTAGAAAAGCGCCGTTAATGTTAAACACTCATTGAATTTACTTTAAAAAAAAACACACAAATATAATGTATGTACATGAAATTAGCAACTTTGCACACAATTACGCGCATATTTTATTCAAATGCAATTAAACGGCATGAAATCGTTGTGTACATTCTGCAATTACCATTACATTAGATTACCGCTATGTGCAGCTGTATCTAAACTTTCTTTATCGCTTTTATCGTGGCGAATGCACATTGTCTTCATATTCTTTATAAATTTCTTTTTAATTCGCCAGCGGCTATTTTTAATCGTATTACAAGCTCATTATGTAAATATTATCACGGCGTAATTTATTACTTGCTAAATTAGACAATTTCACTTATTAATTAGAAAAGTACTTGTAATTAAACCTGGTTAATGAAAAAAGAAAAATTATTGCTGCCTTTCAAAGAAAATTAAAAGTTTTTAAGTTTTATTATCCTGTTAATGATTATATTATCTGTTGATAATCTTATTCTATTGTTTCGAATGCGCTTGCGCCTGTCACTGAGCTTTGACGTGCGTTATCTAATAGACTTTCTTATTGCTTGAATGGTGTTGGCGCGCATTCATCGGTTTCGTTCACGATTCGCGTAGAATAAAATGTGTCACGTTTTAATGCGTTGCATGCGAATTTGTAGTTTCTGCAGTTGTGCTGATTGGCGAGTGCCAATTCAATTGTGGATGACGTGCGTTATCGGTTACTTTCATGTTGGAAACGATTGCTTTCAAATCCAAGACCGCAAATTACTTCGTAATCCACCGCAAGTTGAAGAATTGAAGGTTTCTTGAAACAACTTTCGGGAAGAAAATTGACTTTCAGTGTTAATTTAAGAGCAATTTATCTTTAATTTTCTTGAAAATAATAAGATATTTAGACAATAAACTAGCTTTTGTTAGAAAAATAAAAATTATGTTTCTTTTGTAATTTTTTTAATTAAAACGGAAGAAAATTGACTTTCAGAGTCAATTTAAGAGATGTTTAACTTTGATTTTTTTGAAAATAATAAGATATTTAGGTAATAAATCATTTCTTGTCTGAAATGTTGAAAATAAGTTTTTTTGTAACTTTTCAAATTAAAACTTTGAAATTATAAAACACTAATGGTTTTAATGATTGATAATCTCGTTTGTCATGTGCGTAGTAATTTTTCAAATCACTTTGTTTCCTATCATCAACCAAGAAAATAAAAAGTAATTTCACTGCACGCAAAAGAAAACACTACTCATTAATTACACATTAATGTTAGACTTGAATGAAGTTTTCATGAACACGCTAAACATTATCAACGCGTGGATGCATCACCATTTTGTAATAAACGCTTTCGGATGAATTAATAATGTAATTAATTTTACATTAAACTGTTAATTAAAAGAAATAAAAAAAATAAACATTTACTTACTTAGAATAAAAAATATTTCAACAATTAAAATTAAAAAAATGAATGTTTTATTGTGATTATTCATTGATTTCAAGGTAAAAACCATAAAATATAAAATTTCAAAGATTTATTAATTTGTTAATTGTTAAATCTTCATTATAAGATGCCAAATGTATTTTTGAAAATTACGTAGAATACTAATTCGCCAAAAGAAGAAACAACAATACATCTAATAACATAATAACATTTGAAACACACAAATAACAATCGTAACATCGTGGCATTCTTGGTAATCTCAGAATCTGAGAAAATGACTTAAGTAATACAATCGAGTGTTGAGGACATTGTTTCCAAATGTTTAAATATTTATAACTTGCGCGATGATTTAATATTTGCTTGGTAATTATTTACGTCGAATCAGGTAGAATATAAAATTTGTAATGGTGTTAAACACAAAAGTTCATTGTTCCTTAAAAGTGTATTTAATGAAATTAATTTCCATTCGTTTAAAAATAACTAAATAAATTTACACATGATAATATAATAATATTCAATACTTACAAATTAATATATTGTCCGTGTTTTTAATTTTTATCACTTTTAATCACTTTATTCACTCTGTCACTTGATAATAAAACACATTTTATTAAATTTTTGAATAAAGTTTTGAGTAAAAAGCAGCGTGAGCTTAAAATGTGTGCGCGACTTCTTTGAGTCTTCGTTTCTTCGTTGCGCCGTGGCCGACTGAACCAGACTGAGCTCTCTGCGCAGACCGACTTCTCCGGTTGCTGTTGAGGTCCCGAAGACGGCGGCACGGCGGCAAACTCTACCTCAACCATAAAAACTTTACCACGCTTTGCACCAAGCTACAGGCAACACATCTCGACACCCAGTCGAAGACGGATCCATACCATTGAATTCCATGCAAACAAGAAACCAGTTGACAAACATATGGTGATTTGATGATCATGGTATGAATAATTTATAAATTTGTTGAAAAAGTATATCAAGAGGTAAAAAACATGGAGACACATTTATAACCATTGTTTTTCAAGTGATAAATTTTAACAAAAATATTTATAAAAATTAAATTTTCGCTAAAATATTTCTCATTAATTAATAATATCTTTATACGGTTATTTTATGTTCATTGCAGATTACACATGTTTGCTTTAAATTGGGGACATGTCAAATTTATATCTTTCATGACTCAACGCTTCACGGCTTATTTGCATATTTTCTCTTTTATTGATTTTTATTTTCAACTTAATAAAATGTTTTTAAATGTTAAAAAATCACCTCTATAAAAGATAAATTATTTTCCTTTTGCTTCGTAAAAACATCTGTTTTTCTAATGATAAATTTCTCTATTTCTTAAGTTGATTTCATTTTTTTTTTGCTTCTAATAACTTTTTATGATCTGTGCAGAATATTCTCAGTTTCCGTTATTATTTATTAACTGTGTTTAATTCCAATTCCAACGACTTTTTGGTCACTTCTGTGCTTCCGTTTGAAATGCCCATTCTTCACAGTGCATAATAATAAATACGCTACTTCTTCGCTTCTTGTTCTTGCGCGTCATGCACTAATGGCAACCATTCTCTCCACGGCATCGCGCCGCGTTTTTCGGTAATATTTTCATGCTCGGCTTGGCATAGCCCGAACGCGGTAACTTCTTATCTCGCTTTGAGCTGCCGCTACCGATGCAGAGAGGAAACTTCTACCGAAACGGGAATATATATGACTAGCTTTAACCCGCGGCTTCGCTCGCGTTGAATCCATCAAATAAATATTAGAAATCATTATACATAGTTGAAACGGATTGATAGAAAGAATGTATATTTTACTGCTTGGCTAGGATTATCTATGTGAAAAAATTACTACATGCAATAAAGTTTTAAATTTTAGATAGAATGCTAGATGGCGTTAAAGTAGTCAATTAGCCAGATGCAGAGGTATTATTGGCTAAACAATTTCTTTATTTTATTTAAAAAATATTTTTTATTAAATAAAAAGTAGCCTATAACCATTCGGGGACCACTAAGAATATGTGTACGGATTTGATGTTGTCGTACCTGTCGGTAATACAGTGTGATGGTACTATAGTACTTAGGTGTGAGCTTCATTGCTGGAATGCTAGATGGCGTTAAAGTAGTCAAATAACCAGATGCAGTGGTGTTAGTGACTAAACAATTTCTTTATTTTATTTTAAAAAATAATTATTTTTATTAAATAAAAAGTAGCCTATAACCTATCGGGGACCACTAAGAATATGTGTACAAATTTTCATGATGATCTGTTAAGTAGTTTTTGCGTGAAAGCACGATAAACTTCAGGACATACGCATTTATAATATTAGTAAGGATTTGAGCATTCGATGAATGAAACAATATGAAATCAAAAAACAACGAAGATCATCGAAGAATGAAAGAAATAAAAAGCGCGCTTTGTTCGGTGGCTGCATAGAGAATAAGAATAATACAAACGAACGGTGCTTTTATTTATCGTGCTTATTATCAGTGTATTCATTGATTTGCACGTTTTGCAAACGATCTACATTTTGCACAAATTAGTTTCAAAGTAAAGAGTTGCGGGGACTTCATCATCGGTGAAAGTGTGTGTAAAGATAAAATTTTGTAGTTTTATAAACAAGTATAGGCAACTAAATATACACAGCAGTTACAAGAACATGGAGGATATTATCCTGTATCTCGTTCTTGAATTTGAAAATTTAAACTGATAAGCAGGTTTCCATAAAATGCGTAATATTGGATGATTCTAGAAAGATTCATGTTCTCGCATACAAGTATGAATCAGCTCCAATTTTCTAATAAAATAACTATTCTCTGAAATTTTTAGGTTTACACAATTTAACTTTTGCAACTTTTATACACTTTCAATGCGTCTGGCAGGATGATAGAACCGACCAAACTGTCTGGCGTGCTGGAAAACACAGTTTCATAGCTCTCTGCATAATGTGTATCAAATTCAGCTTTCCTAATATAACGAAAGTAAAAAAGTTCAAAAATATTATAGTTTAGGGGTGTCTGGCTAGGGTTGGAACCATACCAGGTGACTGGCAATGAGCAGCGCATGTTATAATAATGTTACGAACAAAATATGCAAAAATGGAGTTTGCTAAAATAACGAAACATAGGTCATCAAGTGTACATCTTTGTTAGCTGTTAACTGCCAAAGGAACCACGATCCAGGTTTCATAATTGGGGATCGTTCTTACCTGTGTTGGAGAAACACATGGACAAAATTTCATCTTTCCTAAAATGACGAAAGTCTGGCCGTCACTGGCTCTCGCTCTATAAGTCCTAAATATATATATTTTTTATTATTAAAACAATTGCCATTGTATCTGTTGCCAAGGATAATGCTCATTTTGATTACAACTGACCCAACTGACGTCTCACAAATTCTATTTCTACTTATATACTCTATTCTCTCATTCAGCTCCCATCATGAATATGAATGAAAACCAACTCGACGATGGTCCCTCGTGCATCCCACTCGGAGTCCAAATGGAGCAGATGCTGCGCAATGCCATCACAATGACAGAAATGGGCATGGACATGAAGGAGCGCCTAGTACAAGGCGACAAATACATATGCTATCTCCGCACAGTCACCCTCCGTGCAACTAAAAATCTGCATAGCCTGCAGCACACCTGCAACCAATTCCTTACAATGGCACATCGTTTAGTCACAAACGGAATCACAGTCCTTGAACATTCCGCAAACTCAGAGTATAACACCATCAACACCAAACTGGAATATGAAAAACTCTTACAGATAATTGAGAAGGAACTGTGTGAGACTGATGAACAAGATTCAGACTCAGAGACAACTTTTGCAACAAACACACATGAAAAAATTAAGTATTTAGAAGCGAGGCAAAAAATAGCTGAAAACGCGCCATCTTTACATCATTCATGCAGTGTAAAAAGCGTAAAGAGTGATGTCGATGAGAAATACCCCGAAAATTGGTCGAGGGATTCATTGATTGACTTAAACAACGTAGTTAACCTACCTCCAGTTCCTGAAGACATCTTCACTTGCTTTAATAGTAAACAACCGACGCGGACTTCCAGTTTAAGCAGTCTTAAAGGAATGCGCAAAGTGAAATTATTCTTACAGAGAGCCGCAAGTAATTCCGATGATGAAGATAGCAGCGACTTGGATGATACTCACGATATAATAGTAACTAGACTTGTCCTTATTATACAATTTCATCACTTTATTAATCAACAGGGTGACAACGATATCTGCGAAAAGTCCAACAAGAAGTTATGCAACATCACAGAGGAAAGTCATCAGGAATAAAATACAAACCTTAAACTTACATCTAATTCCCATCATTTCCATATACATTAGATACATAAATAAAATAAACATGGAGTGTAGTTGAATGTTATTAATCGAGAGAATCGTTGAAATTCAAGTCCAGCGTTGGCACCACTCTAGTGCGGAAAACCGCGCGAATCAGTGCTGCCAACACATTGATGGTAATATATCCCATGATAAAACAGCTCCATCCAAATTGCATCCACACAGACAACAAAGTACCCAAAGCAAGGAAACTCAGTAAGCTTTTATTTGCAAACTTGCGGAAGCTCACGCGTGGAGGAAGGTGGTACATCACGCGTCGTGATGAACCATGAGACTTCTCGAATTTGAACGCTTGCATTGGATCCTGCAGGAAGTTCGAAACAAAACGGCCGCAGAAACCATGATTGTAGTACCATCGTGATAAATGATTTCCATACTGAAATTAGGAAATACATAAGCAGGTTTGTATTTAATAAGTAAATTGTTAAAAAATACCTGTTGGTTGATGTTACAAGCAAAAACATAAAGTAATCGAACTAAAAACGCGATTTCATAGCTGCGAATAGGAATTAAGTCAGGATCGCCTTCGTATTTCATGTTTTTCAGTCGCTCCTTCACTTTGGTCGGTGTTAAAATGGTCGCATATGAATTATCCTGCATTATCGTATCTTCTCTAGACAATTCGTGGACTTTCTCCGGTGTTACATCAAAATTATGAAACTAAAGTCATTAAAAATAAAATAACTGCATAAAAATGATGGTTTATACATACATCTTTAATCTGAAACATTTCTATTAGAAAATCAGCGCTGCTTTTCAAAAACACAGGCGCCTTTAGTCTATCCTGCAGGGAAATCTCATCCTGACTTGGCAGCGGACCAAAGAAAAAGCTCCACAAACCATTGTCATTCTTTTGTGCAGTTTTACACTCTTCCAACAACGCCACAGCTTTAATTTCGCTGGATTTTGTGAGTTTTAATAATTCATACACTTCAGCAGCAGTTTGCGTTATAAACATTGGCTTATAACAAAAATTCGGTCCTTCTAGTTCATAGATCTTTTGCCGTACAAGGTTCAAATACTTAGATGCAAAAGTATCGTACCCCGATCCGAAGAAATTCGCAGGATGAACATTATCAGACGAGATATCCTGCATAATATGCGTCGAGCTATAAATATCAGTCGTATTGTTTGTTGACCAGCGCGATGTTGGCGACAATGGTGGTAAAATCGACGAGTAATTCAACGTGGAATGATGTGTGGGCGAGTAGTTCTTATTCTCTACAAGACTTTCAACTTTTTTCAGCATAGACACCAAGTTCGGTTGGTTGAAAACTTTGGTGAGTCGAAATAACATTTGTGCGTTCTTTGGACTAGCCAAGTCAATTCTTGCGAATCTGGGTAACAACTGTTGCAGTATCACGATGTAAACCAATAAATTCTCGGCGATAAACTGAATATAAGTGTTTTCATCAGCATATTTCACGGTTTCATCTGGAGGTGAAGATGAGGCAGGAATCATTTTATAAATTCCACCACTAAAAAATGTTTTAATTAATTTTTAAACTTTTTAAACCTTAAATGGATTTATAACTAACCCTTCATTGTATGTATCATGTGCGTATCTCCAGGGCTGTATGAAACTCAACCATAGTTCCAAAACAAGCCGGAAAGATTCATCCAGTGGCCAACGATGCAATAAATTTCGCAGGAAAACATACATACGTGATTGCATCATCGGTAAAGTGTGCTTTTTAAGTTCTCCGAGTGAACTGTTATCTTCTTTTGCTGTAGATGAAAATGCGTGTAAATGCTTTACAACAACACGGATTATTCTTATGTAGTCTCCACTTGGTAGTTCCGGATACTAATAAAAAAACAATTCAATTATAAATAATTTCGCATTAAAACTGTGTAACTTACATTAGTAGCAGTTGATAAATTATTGTACTGTGAGCAAACTTGATCATTACTCAACCACAAGTCAATAATCGCCATGAGAATGGTTTCACTCCTCCAGATTTCATTGCGTGGATGTTTTTCGATGTGTTGATGCATCACTTTCATATCGTTGATGTGCGGATCACCGAATAAATTTTGTTTCAATAAAGTACTTTGTTTATAAGGTCTAAAAATTACAATTATTATAAAGTATTGTAAGTTTCAATAATTAAAAAAAAACTTACTTGAAAACATGTTGGGTTGATTGAATTGGGTTCTTTCCATGATAGAATGTTATCACTGGAAGAATTGGTACATTCAGTGATGTAGGGAAGAAATGTAAGAGATATTCAGAACATAAGTTATAGTAAACTGTATTCCAATGCTCTTCACTAAGAACTCTTTGATGGCATGGGTTAATCAAGTGGTAAACAAAGTGAAATATGTAATAATCAAATGGATCTAAAAACACATTGAAATAAAATTAAGTTTTGTGTAAAGTAATATATCTTACTTAATAATAATGAAACTAATTGCCTTCCAGACTGATGATTTGTATACTGAATAATCTCATTATAGAATGGATTAACATTTGACCCTTCAAGCATCAGTCTCACTTTAGTCTACAAAAAAAAAAAAAAACAATTAAAATATGTTCATATAATTGTAACATACACAAAATGATAAACTTACAGGCAAATAAGCCAAACTAAAATCATATTTGATTGTAATATCATGCAGCAGAATATAAATCTGTTTAAACAAAACTCCTTCAGGTTTTAGAAAATTCATTATGCTGTTATATTCTGTGGTGTGAGTTTCTGCATGGATTTTTCTTAGATTCCAATGAAAAGTACCATGTGGACCAAAAATATTATCCACTAGGATTGGAAATATGGTTTGTAGGTCTTGCTTGGTAGCTCTTTCAAAGAGCAAAGTTAATTCTGCACATCTTGTATCTGGTCTGAGTAATGCATTACTCATTTGACTCTAAAATAATTATTTTAATAAAATTGCATAAATTTACAGATAATTATATACATACCAAGATACTATCTGATTCAAATGAAGGTAAAGCACTCATCATATTAATATTATTCATCATTATGTAAGGATGAACGTGTTTTAACACTTTTTTAAAGAGAAATATAACCAATTCTAACTGATCTTTGCGGCAGATGTTTGTTTACGCATAACCTGCGAATTCAAATGCAAAAATCTAGGGAATTTAATGCGTGTGAAAATGTCATAATTTAAACTTAAACTACGTAAAACTAATATTAAAAATACTTTATATTTTAGAAACATAAATTCTCTTCTTAGTTTATATAAATATCTATTATGAAAATAGTTTTATACTTCGATCAAATATTTTTTAAATACAAATTTACATCCACAGTAATTTTTCTAGTAACATCACGTAACCTCACACGTTCGTCAATTCATTGCACGTGTTTTTAAACTGCGTGCTTGTTTTGTGTGATAATCATCAATTTAATAATTAAATAAGTGCAAAACACGCAGTAAAACAATGGGAAATCGCAAAAAGAAGGTAAATTTAACCATTAATAGTATTATAAATCACTAAAACTATATTAATTATAAATCTATTTATTCCAATATTCAGTATGCGACTGGCGAGGGCGCACAATTCATAAGCCGTCGCGCTGCCCTCAGAAAACTTCAACTCTCCTTGAATAACTTCCGACGACTATGCATCATCAAAGGAATTTACCCACGCGAGCCCAGGAACCGCAAGCGTGCGCAAAAAGGCTCCACTGCAATCCAAACTTTATACCACATCAAAGACATCCAGTTTCTGATGCACGAACCAATCATCTGGAAATTCCGCGATTATAAAATCTTCAACAGGAAAATCAGCAGAGCCAGAAGCATCAAGGACTTTGAAACAATGAAGAGATATCTGAGCAATCATCCAACAATCAAGCTGGATCACATTGTCAAAGAAAGATATCCCACATTTATAGATGCCATCCAAGATTTAGATGATTGTTTGACTCTGTGCTTCTTATTCAGCACTTTCCCATCATTGGCACATGTGCCAAGAGATCAGAGTGACATGTGTAGAAGACTCACAATTGAATTCTTGCATTATGTGATTGAAGCGAAAGCTTTAAGGAAAGTTTTTGTTTCAATCAAGGGATATTACTATCAGGCTGAGATTAAGGGTCAGACTGTCACTTGGATTGTCCCACATCACTTCTCTTTTGAACCCCAACACAAATCTGATGTGGATTTTAAAGTAATGTCTACTTTCGTTGAGTTTTACGTTGTACTTCTTGGTTTTGTCAATTTCCGCCTGTATCACACTTTAAACTTGTACTATCCGCCGAAATTCAATGCTATTGAACAAGGAAGTTCGGAAAAATCCCTAGTAGATGAAGATGTGTTTGTTGCAGAGAGAGTAGCTGCTCTTAACTGCGGAATAAGTAAAACAAGCACTGGGGAAGCAGAAGAAGAAATTGAGATTGACAATTTTTCAAATGAAGATGATCCGGAAAAACTAGAAGAACTCCGAAAAGAAGCAGATTCTATAAGAAATTTAAAAACATTATTCAAAGGATTAAAGTTTTACTTGAATAGAGAAGTGCCTAGGGAACCATTAGTCTTCTTGATAAGGTGTTTCGGCGGAGAAGTATCATGGGATAAGAGTTTATTCGTCGGGAGTACATTTGAAGAAACAGACGAGACGATAACACATCAGATTGTCGACAGACCGTCAATGGACAAACAATACATAAGCAGATATTATGTTCAACCACAATGGTTGTTTGATTCGGTGAATGCCCGGCAATTATTACCAGTGAATAAATATTTCATTGGAGCTGTGCTGCCACCACATTTATCACCATTTGTTGATAAAGACAGAGATCAGAGTTACATTCCTCCGGAAGAGAAAGCTTTGTATGATCCTGCTCTTCTAGAAGAAATGCACAAACAAGATCAGGGCGAAAATGAGTCGGAAGATGAAGAAAACACTGAAAAAATTGATGAAGGTATTGATGACGACAATGAAGACGATGATGATGATGATGAAGAACAAGAAGAGGAAGATGTAAAACCACACAAAAAGAAACTAAGCGTTAAGGCAGGTGAAGTCGTCAAAGAAGTTCCATGGGCAAAGAAACTCCAAGAAAAAGATGAATTCAAGTTACGCGAGAAAATGATTAAAGGTAAACATCGCAAACTATACAAGAGCATGATGCGAGGTAAACAAGACCGCGCTAAAGAAGCATGGTTGCTCAAAAAGAAACGTAAACTTCATGATGAAATGCAAAAAGCTGAGAAGAAGACTAAAAAAGCCACGAAATCTACAAGCTAGGCGAGTAACTCGGATGATAAATCTGTATTTTTAAATAAAATACAAAACTATTCATTAAATATACAAATATTAAAATATTGTCAAAGAATGCTTGACACATTGCACCCTAAAAAATATCAACAATCCATCAAAATCGATCAGGAATTAATTCTAGACGCGGCTGTATTTCTGTTACCGTATTAGTTTATTCCTCGGTGTCGCTCTCGTCGCTGTCCTCATCCAGTTCGGGCATGGGAAAGCGTAGAATAGCGGCGACACCGGTGAGTTGCTCCAGCTGCTCGCCGGATAGATGCATGCTGGAGAAGATTTTCACATCGCCGCCAGCCTCGCGGACTGAATCAACCAGTTGGACGTATTCTTTGCGCAGCGGGACATTACTGCATCGGAAGAGGCTGTCGGTGATGAGAAGTGTTTCGATCGCTTGCGCTGCGCTCGCTTTTTCGACATGACGCTTGCCGTAGAAGGCTTTCGCTGGCTCGCATTGCAGTGTTGTGTAGAAAGCGTCCAGCACCTTCACTTCGCCCGCTGCTTTAGTATCGGCAATTTTTGATATGACTCCGGTGTCTTGCAGTATTTCTAAGAATATTTGATTTTTTTATGGTTTATTATGGTTTTAAGCGGTAAAAAGAAATTAATTTACCTTGGAGTGAATGTTTGAAGCCTGAACTTGAATGTACAAGCATAAATTTACTTCTGTTTTCAAGCAGCACTTTGTTATCGGTCTTGATGGCCATTTGAATCATGTAGTCGAAGAATTGATCACGAACGAAGCCAGGTGACGCGACTAGCACACATTTCACAACGTCGAAGTTGATGTGGCGCAGGATGGCTTGAATAACAGTGTCGTAAAACTTTGCTAAACCCTAAAAACATCAATTGTAAGCAAGTATGACTTTTACAACCGAATTCGAGCTTACTTTTTCGTGTTGTTGAACAAAACCTTTGCGTTTTCGTGGAATAGACACATCAATCTTGGCGCGAACGAGCGTCATACTCGAGGTGATCAAACAAACGTGTGCTAAACCATCCTGCATGATAATAGCTGCCACATCGGCGCTCTGTGTGGGATCACAAGCCATATCAACACGCTCCAGCGCCACCGAATCCCACTCGGGTTTACGAAGGGAGAATTTCCGATTTAGTTCCAGATCCAACGTGTGATATGCACCCATTTTCACGTACTGATTCTCTTCGATGTTGCGCCCTTTGAGGCGCAGCATACACGCCTGTGTGTCAAAGTCGATATTCTCCACTGAAATCGTCAACATCGTGCGCACGCGACTTGAAGATGAGGAGCCTGTCGTTGATTCTGTCTGCACTTTGCGGACGGTGGACGCTCGCACCGAATCACCTTCTGAGATGAGATTATATGCATGCCACATGTCCTCTGGCTCTTCAGGGATAAGCCCAATGTCCCTATCAAAAGCATAAAAATATAAAATTTATTTAAAAAATTATTAAAAGTAGTAAATAAAAATATTATGTGTAAGTTTTTCAAACAAAACAAATGAATATTGTTTCAAGTGTATAATTTCAGTTTGTGATTAATGACTAGTATAACTGAGCATGTGAACTAACCTACAAAGTTAAATTTTAAGGTTTTAGATGCTTACCCGCCGCCCTCGCGATCGACATTCTTGTAAACGAGTTTCATTTCGATGGTTTTCTGTGCATCTTGCGATTATGGCAGCGAATCAATTTAGCAACGCGTCGCGATAACATATTACGTGCGATACTGCGAAAGGATTTTGATAAAAGCGAGCCAACTTTGACAACTCGCGCACTTGTATTGCATACGCAGAGGTCACGTGGCGGTTTACAGATGGCGCCACCACACGCAACAATATACCGAGAGCAACAAAACCTTTGCAGAAAGTAAAACTTGTTTTTTAAATTAATTTACAGTAGTTTAAAGTTATTACGTAGATAATTGGTATTTATACGAAATAAAATAGAAGTTGCAGGTAATAAAATCAGAATTGGATTAGAAATTACTTTTAATTTATCATAAAACACTCAGTTTAATAAAAGTTTTCAAAAATGACATTGTTGCCGATAATGTAGGTTTTTTTTATAAAAACATTCAACTCGAATTGATTTCAACATGGCAAAGCACATAATCGATGATAATATTAACTGACTCATTCAGAAATAATTAGTAACCCATGTTATCTATTGCAATGAAGTAAATTGTTGCTAATTTGCGTGTTTTTTTTTATTGCCTAGTGCACGTCGCATACGTCGTTGATGCGCATTGTTGCTGTCAGACAACACAGCTGTTTTGGCAGCGCACAACGGTTTTTCAATTTTGAGGTTCTGTCGATTCACACAAGTCCATTCCGAATCGCTCTGAATGTAGCCGAGGGGCCGTGCGTGTTTGCCTTTTGCGTTGTGCGCCTTTTGGCACTTGTTTTTTTCCGTTTTTCCTGCGTTTTTCGCGTGACGGAACGAACGCGCGCATTTGACACGCGGACGCAGTGCGGTGAACGCTTTCAACAAGCGCGCGCGCGCGATAATAAAATTGTGTCGTGTGTGTGATAGCGGGCAAAAGTGCGAATCGGATTAATAAGGAAAAGGAAATTGCGCGCCACGCAACGGCCAGCCAGTATACGGACGCCGGTGAGTTTAATAATAAGCGCTGGGATATATTTAGAAAACGGAATTATGTCAGTAGTGGCATGAGGACAGAAAAATCCGCAAATACGTGCATTATGCACGCAACATTTTCCTACACAAATTTCTTACATTACATTAATGTTTCGAATAGTTTAATATTCCAATAATTTTAAATCACTGTTATTCTTTTGTTTTTATATGAAGAAATATCAACAAAAGAGGCCATTGTTATATATCTAGTCTAGTCATCAAAGGATGAGATTAATTCGTGCTCTGATTATGCTAACATTTTCACTCCCAGCTGGAAATACAGAGTGTACAAGTATTAAATACGAACTATAGTCTATATAATCACTGTAGCATTACATCTTCTACGAAAATTTAGCGGAGCAGTTGTAGAAAACTCATTTATTACTGTTTTCTGTGTACTTCGTGGATAATTTACGGTTTTATGAGTTTATAATTGTAGTGTTCTCAATTTTACACACCTTGGTATCTGTTCTGTTTCTATTTTATTATTTTTTTTTATTTTGTCGGTTGGTTAAAGGTTCGCTGATGTTGCATTTCCGCGTTTCTTACAAGCATAAATGTCATTTCTTGTTGGCATAAATGTCAGACGCGAATTTTTATTCATATATTTACTAGATACTATTTACATTCGTTATCATTATGTAAAAAATTCTAGATAATATTATTTATCAGTGTTGAATCAGATATTTATGAGATATTTATGATTTTTATTCGTAAAACTGGTTTATTTTTATATTTGTTTGTACATTTGGTTGCCTATAGCACAACTCAAGCCAACAACATTTTTCGAAATAATTTTTCAAGTTTCACTCAACAAAATATGTTTTTTTTTTTGCATGATAAACATGATTTAACATTAATTTATAATTGTTTAATCACAAATTACTCATCAAAACAAAACTTTATTATAGAAACATGCTCCAATTTTCAATTTTTATTATTCACACCTCTAGAAAACGCGCAGTTAGAAACATATATTTGCATCTGTGATTACGTAAATCGTAAAGATGTAGACATGATGAGGCATGAAATATTATTGGGTATGAAGTAGGTATTTGTTAATTAAGTCGAGATGATGGGTCCAGTCGGTTCGCGTTGAGTCAGGCGGCTATTTTTAAGCAAGTGTTCGATTAGAGTTGGTTCTCAACGAGGATTGTTTATGACTGTTTGGGTACAGATTCTTTTTCATTCACTTTATTCTCTAAAAACATTTCAGTATGTATAAAACGATGAAAGGTATTAAACTAATATGTATAAAATATTTTGGGGAGGTGATTAATAAAAGAAAAAGCAAAAATTATTCATGGCGAAGCATAAAGTAGAAAATTTATTACGAAATTTATAATTTTTACCAAAAATTCATCAATTACAATAAATTTTTTTTTATCATTTTTGATGTATATGTCAAAGTCGTATATTCAATTTCAATAGAGGGCGTTACAGGTTATGCATAAATCTATCTATAATATAAAAATGAATCGCAAAATCTGTTGGTAAGCGCATAACTCAACAACGCCTAGATGAATTTGCCCAATTCTTTTTTTAAATGTTCGTCAAAGTCCTAGGATGGTTTTTACGGCGAGAAAAATTCGAATAATTGCCGGGAAAACCCTACAGACAGCCCTTTTCTATAGGATAAAAGTTGGCATTGAGATTCAATCATAGTTATAGTTAGATAGTTGAATCCGAGATGGCGCGCTGATGTGCATTATTAGCAATTCTTTATATAAACAAAAATTTATTTTTTTTACCAACCAAACGAATAATTTCTATAAAAATATCTTCATCATAGTAAATAACATATATTTCCGAGCACTTTAAGAGACGTTTTCATGAAAATTTATTATTTCAATAAATTATACGATTATTTTGCTTTGATTTTGATTTCAAAAGAGAAAATATAATTTTTTTATGATGAATCTTTCAATGAAAATTCACCAGACGTCATGAACACTGCCCTATACCCAATATAAGCACACTTATGATAATTATACGGGCATGTAACAGATTTGAAATATGTGCGTGTGTTTATATGATCCAATTTCGCCATTAGTATGATGAAATTCAGCCGTGAGACCGTGACATCCCTGAAGCGAAGCACATTGCGCTGGCTTCACTGAAAAATATTTCATTTCAAACTATCTGCGATCTCTACACTCTATAGATGCGTCTTATTCATATTTAATATGCGACACTTAAGTCGCTGCCTCAATTGCAACACGCATCAAACGCCGTCCGAAAACTGTTCCACTGCTAATACAGCAACGCACGTCCTGATATATTTTAAGTAAATAATTTAGGTTAGTGTAACTCTACTATTTATCAAATTCGTGCGGTCTAAGTGTTTCTTGTGCGCTGGATCACTTCCAGGAACGCTTTCAGTTTTTTTGCTTCTTTTGCGTGCTGCGGGCATTGCACGTATTCCGAGAATGCGAAAAATGC